ACTGCAATATGGAGTATAGGAATTACATATTGTTATCAGTATTTTTGGTGAGTCTGTCACTATTTTGAAATCAATACTTACATAATTATAAAGGTACCGGTAAGCTCTTCTCTCCTTTGAAGTGTGTAATTATTTGACCAAATGCTTTAACTAACTTGTTTCTTCTTTATTACTAGTCTGATACTTGATTCACATTGCGATTTCCTTGGATCTTCTAGTGTATCTTTAGAGTAGCAAATAATAGATGCAAATAATAGATGCAAATAATAGTTTATTACTTTATTGGGCAATAATTTTAAATTACAAGAGTATAAGTTATTATTATTGCCAGGATATTCACTTTTATTTATATTACTAGTAACACATACAATTATTCATTGTCATATCATGCAAATCACCTAAACTTAATAAGCTTTGGCACTGATTACTGATGCATAACAAATGCATCCAGTTACTGCGCCACACAATATATCGGGTCAATAGATTCAGACCCAACACAAAATTATTATGTGAGTAAATTATTAGATCCGAACTGTAAATTTTGAGTGAACTTATTCATTCGGAGCATTATTTATATCGAATAAAACCTGATTTGACAATAGGAATGCTTACTAGTATTGTAATACTATATAAAATAAGTTACGTAAGATACTACAGTACAATAGTTATTGTCTCTAAATATAGTAAGTACATTTAAGGGCAGTTACTGAACCAATAAAGTAAAATTTTTATTCTTTATTTCAACACATAATGAAATATCTAATTATTACAGTATTAGAATTTAATAATAAAAATAAACCAAAATACAAGATTTAACAAAGATTTCTTATATATTAAAAGTATTAGCAATTTCCAGTCATATTAGGTGTTATATTTACCGACTTAAATTACAGTATAAATATAACCTGCAACTTTAGAAATTGAGAATCAGGTATACATTCCTACGTTGGACCTCAACTAATGCTTTCCTTGCCGATTCTCCTAAATTGTTATTACATAGATTCAGCGTAGTCAAAGTGGTATTTTTGATTAGTTCCTCAGCCAAAAATTTCCCCGCTAATTCTCCTAAATTATTATTGTACAAATTTAAGTTAATCAGAGTGGTATTCTTTCTTAACGCCTTGGCTAGTGACTTCCCTGCCAATTCTCCTATTTTATTCCCACTTAGATCTAATTTTGTTAGCGTGGTATTTTTACTCAGCGCCTCGGCTAGTGCCTTTCCTGCTAATTCTCCTATTCCATTTTCACTAATTCCTAAGCTATTTAGGGAAACATTTCTACTTAGCGCTTCGGCTAGAAATTTTCCCGCCGATTCTCCTAAATTATTATAACTTAAATCCAAATCAGTTAATGTGGTATTCTTGCATAATGCCTCAGTAAGTGCTTTTCCCGCCGGCTCTCCTATTTTGTTATAACTTATATTTAGGCTGGTTAGTGTGGTATTCTTGCATAGTGCTTCGGCTAATGCTTTTCCTGTAGCTTCTCCCATTTTGTTTTCACTTAAATCTAAATCGATTAGGGCATTATTCTTGCATAGTGCTTCAGCCAGTGATTTTCCTGCCGATTCTCCTATTCCATTATTACTTATATTTAAAATTGTCATTGTGATATTCTTGCATAGTGCTTCGGCCAGTGCTTTTCCTGACGATTCCCCCAAATGATTATATCCTAAATTCAAATTAGTCAGTGTGAAGTTCTTGCATAATGCCTCTCCCAATGCTTTTCCTGCCGATTCTCCTATTTCGTTGTAACTTATATTTAAGTTAGTTAACGTGGTATTCTTGCACAGTGCTTCAGCTAGCGCTTTTCCTGCCGATTCTCCTAGTTTATTTTTACTTAAATCTAAATTAGTCAGTGTGATATTCTTTAATACTGCTGCGGCTAGTGCTTTCCCTGCAGATTCTTCTATTTTGTTATGACTTAGATTTAAACTGGTTAGTGCGTTATTTTTACATAGTGCTGCTGCTAATGCTTTTCCTGCAAATTCACCTATTTTATTTTTACCTATATCTAAATTAATCAGGGTATAATTTTTACTTAATGCCTCTGCTAATGCTTTTCCAGCTAATTCTCCTATATTATTACTGTGCAAATTCATGTTGGTCAAAGTAGTATTCTTACTTAGTATTTTGGCAAGGTATTTTCCTTCTGACTCCCCTACTGAATTACTGCCTATATTCAGATGAACAAGAGTGTTATTTTTGTTCAATGCCTCAGCCAACGCTTCTACGGATTCACCCAAATTATTATCGTACAAATTTAAAATCTTCATAGTGCTATTCTTACTTAGTGCCTCGGCTAGTGCTTTTCCCGCTAACTTTCCTATATTGTTCCAACTTAGGTCCAAGTTAATCAGGGTCTTATTCTTACTCAATACCTCTGCCAATGCTTTTCCTGCAAAACTTCCTATACTGCTCCAACTTAAGTTTAAATTAGCCAGGGAGGTATTATTGCTTAGTGCTTCAACTAATTTTTCCCCTGCTAATTCCCCTATCCAATTAATGCCTATATTTAGATCAATCAAGATATTATTCCTTTTTAGCGCTTCAGCAAGCACAATTCCTGCCGATTCTCCTATATTACTATTGTATAAATTCAAATTAACAAGCGTTTTATTTACACTTAGTGACTTGGCCAGTGATTCACCTGCCACTCCTCCCAATTTATTGTTGCTAATATTTAAATCTAACAGGGTGGCATTTTTAATTAGTGCCTTGGCCAACGTTTTCCCTGTCAGTTCTCCTATTTTATTGCTACTTATATCTAAATTGGTCAGGGTGGTATTCTTAATTAGTGCCTCGGATAATGCTTTTCCCGCCGAATCACCAATTTTATTGTTGCTTATATCTAAGTTTGTCAGGGTTTTATTTTTACTTAATGCGTCTGCTAACGCCTTTCCAGTCAATTCACCTATCCTATTCCAGCTAAGGTTTAAATTGGTAAGATCAGTATTTTTGTATAAAGCTTCGGCAAGTGCTTTACCTGCAAATTCTCCTATTCTATTTTGACTCAAGTCTAAATTAGTCAAACTGGTATTCTTGCATAGTACCTCGGCCAATGCGATTCCTGTTGATTCTCCGATTCTATTCCCACTCAAGTTTAAACTGATCAAGGTGATGTTTTTGCTTAGTGCCTCGGCCAATATTTTTCCTGAAGATTCTTCTATTCTGTTATGACTTATATTCAAACTGGTTAGTGTGGTATTCATAATTAAAGCCTCGGCCAGCACTTTTCCCACAAAATCTCCCAACCCATTATTGCTAATATCTAATTTACTCAAATTTTTATAATCTAATAATAATTCAGTATTTTTTGGATTTATTTTTATTAATCTTCCCCAGTAATGAGAAGATAATTTAAACAACTTTATTTCGTAGTAAACTTTTCCTAAGCGCATTAGTATTTCTTCCTTATCTTGTTCAACTTGCTCTGCTTGCTTGTAATAACTTAATGAATCTTTATATTTTTCAAGTGAAAAAAAAATATCTCCACACAGTAATAATGCGCACATATTTTTTGGTTCAGCCATCAACACATTCCTAATATCATCTAATGCCTTATCGAATTTTTCGAATCTATAATATATATGACCCCGCTTTATATAAGCCAATAATTCTCTCGGTTTTAAATTTATTGCGTTAGAGTAATCCTCGAGTGCCTTTGAGTATAGATTAAGCTTTTCTGAGAGATTTGCTCTTTTACATCTGATAGAATAGCTATGCGGATAGTTTTCTAATGCACGAGTATACCACATAATTGCCTCTAAATGATTTCCATTTTCTTCTGCCTCAACTGCTTTACGATATGCAGGATCTAAGTTTTTTGGTCGTATTTTATTTAAGAATTTCTTTGTATGAAAATTAAATCCTGGCATTCCAAATGAGTGTAACTTGTTAAGCTTTAGAAAAGTTTCCTCTTTAAATTCCCACTTTGAATTCAATGGCACATGATTAATTTCATGCGACGTATTAAAATATCCTGCTTCTTCCAATCGTTTATAAAGGCCTTTGAGAGTAGCATTCTGCGGAAGATTATATATTTGTTTTATTGAAGTTCGGCATATTGGACATATAAAGCTTTTGTCGTCTAATTGCGACATTGAATTCCATTCATCAACTGCAAATTTGCTAATTGAATGACCGCACTCTAATATACAAAAATCCCCTGTTATTTCTTTCATTATCGGGCAAGTTAATTTTTCGACAATAATATTCAACAACTCAGAATTTTTAAGTGACGTTTCCTTTTCCTTCCCGTTTTTTGGTTTAATAATTGATGAGGCAAATATATTATAACTATTATCATTTTTGATTTTTCTTTCAACGTCTTTGATTAACTTATCAAAATTTTTATGATGGAACTTATAAGCATGCAATTCGACATTAATTATATCACCAAAGATCTCATTTTTTTGATGTGATAATTTAAGTAATAATTCCACGGATTTCCAATTTATGAAAAAATCGCCGTATGAATTTTGCAAGGACTCTAAAGCTACATAATAGCATAATGCCAAAATGACCTCTTTCGAAGTTTTGCTGATAATAGCCTGTGCCAAATCAAGTACCCCAAACCATAATAAATTTGGTAAATTAATATGTTTGTCATTAGTTATTATGTTAATAAACGATAATTGATCTTCCAGTATTTTATAACCAGCTTGTGATAATTTAAGGTGTTCGTCAAAAACTCGTTGCCAAATAATTTCTAAAAGCATGGTTTCTCCATTTTCATATAATAGTTGATAATTATCATCTTCAGTTAATGACATTAAAGAATAGTTGACTGTTAATAGTTCGCGCCATAGCATATACCAATCAGAGGTATCATTATCTTTTTCTAAGTTTCGATCCATTAATTTATTTTCAAAAATAAATTTAGCTTGTTTGGAAAAACTTATAGAGTCTTCATTTTTCATGTCACGAAAAGTTTCTCTTAAATGTATAAGAAGAAAGTTGATGTTGTAGTTCCATAAATATATTTGATCATTTTCAAAATTTTTAAACCTTTCCCGTTGAGCTTTTTCTAGGCAATAATGAATTTCTGCAAATTTCTCTAAGCCATCATACATATTCTGAAGCATCTTTGTTTTTATAAGCATCCTGGAATAATAAACTCTTTCTAAAACTGCAATATAAGTCCTAAGATGTAATTCCATTCGAGAACTCATTTCTTCAGTGTAGTAAATATTTTCAAATAATGAGACGTCAGATAATTTTTCTAGAGCCATAAATAACACCGCAGAAGAAATCTTTGCTGCATAATTATTTACTAAAGTTTTAAGGTCATATAAATTCGAGGACTTGCTTAAATCAGAGGCAAATTCGTGTACCCGAAAATCCTGAGATTCTAGTTTTTTTAAAGTTTTAATCAATCATAAATTTTAACTGATTAATTAATAAATAAAATACTGCTAATAAATTACCTATTAAGTTCTCCTTGTTTATACATACAAATACCCTATTCCGACCACGTCTTTTAGCCTCATATAATGCGTTATCAACAGTACTTAACAAAGCTATTGTAGATTTTTCAAATGGATTAATCTCTGCAACTCCAATGCTAATCGTAACTCGTAATCTTATTTTCTCATAGGTAAGCATATAATCTTCAACCGAAGCTCGAATCATTTCAGAAATTTCGTAAGCAGATTCTGAATTGGTATTTCTAAGGATAATATAAAATTCATCTCCACCATACCTCCCAAAAATGTAATTGGGACGAATAAATTGAGACTTGATTAAGGAAGTTAATTCCTTTAAAACATAATCTCCTGCTTCGTAACCATAATCTTCGTTAATAATTTTAAAGTGATCAATGTCAAAAAAAATAAAACTCGATGTCAATACATTTCCATCAATAATCTGCAGCTCATCTTCTAGTATTTTTTTCAAATAAAAAGCATTATAAACATTTAGCTTTGGGTCTAAATAATCTTCGTATTCTCCAGCAGGAAAGTATTGGAAAATGCTACTCCCTATTTTAATCGTGTCATCTTTTTTCAAAAAATAAAATTTATGTGAAGGAAGCTTGTTGCCATTAATAAATGTTCCGGATGAAGAATAAGAATCCATAATCGCAAATTGCCCCTTATATTTTATTATTTTTGAGTGATTCTTCGAAATATTTTGACCCTTAATAATAATATCGCACGTGGAAGCTCTTCCTATAATAATCTTTCGTTGGTCAAGAAATATGCGCTGATCTTGGGATAAACCCTGAATAATACATAAAGTAAATCCATTCTTTCGAGGTTCTATACGATTTTTTTTGAAAAAAACTTTTGGTATATACTGAACATCATTGTATACGGGTTCGAGTTCAACATCTCCAAGACTTTTAATAATCGTTTTAATTGGTAGTCGTTTTTCGAGGTTTTTATCCCATGCTTTGCAATAAATCTCCATGTAATCAATAGGCGTTTCATTAATAGGATTTTCTCTGTATCCATCAACAATCATTGAAGTTAAAATAGATTTGTCCATTATACTTTTGTAGGGTGGAATGCCGCTTGACAATTCCCAAAGAATTATTCCTAGACTATAAATATCACCCTTTTTGTATTTATACGTATAGGAATTTTTGAGTAATTGTGGATCTAAATAAGTAATATCATTGTCTACAAAATTAAATGGACCGTGATCAGCAATAATTAATCTACCGTGATGGCTAAATATATTTTGGGGGTTCTATTTAATTAAAAATAATAAGTTGATAAATAAGAACTTTTATGCAAAAGGAAATTTTAAAGTAAAATATCTACCAAATTTAAATGCGTCACGTTAGCTTCATGAATAAAGCCTAAACCACTTGCAATATCCTTCGCCATTTTTATTTTGATAGGCCAATCTAATTTTAAAAAAAATTCATGCAAATATGTTCGAAGATTTTTACACTTTACGTACAGAAATTCCGTAAAATAATTGTTTTTCAAAATTGTATCTAAAATTTAAAAATTTATTAGAAAATTATAATGCAAATTCCAAAATTAAAAATAAAATTAAGTACATTGACTAATTCCCATAAATTTTGTTGTATTTTCGTAGCCGACAGCTCGTATATCTTTTAGCTTGTTAATTATAATTAACGCACACAATTATAATTTGACTTATAAAAAATATATATATAACTAACACAATTAAATAAATACCTTTTTGAAAATTTCGATATAACATCGTAAATTATCCAACAATGATAGATGTTTCAATGCAAAAATCTTCCTTGGATAAGACCTGCAGGAATAATTATATAATTTATCGGAATAAGTAAATTACAAATAAATGACTCGATTTAATATATAGCTACTCACATTTTAACAATTTTGTTGGAAGATATTCCAGAAATTTTTGTCAGACCACGTGATTTTAGTTGGATACTATCAAACTCAGTAATTGTGTCATACGAACAGGTTTCCAAAGGATGTAGCCTATGCTTCTGAAAATCGTCATAAATTTCAATTACATCTCCTGAAACACTATTGCTGGATATTTTTATATTAAGATTAAAGTTATCTCTTGCATTAATAAAATCCTTTGGGTAGCCAATAATCATCCAACAAATCTCTATATTATAGCGTTGAACTTTATTTTTTATTTTCCCAGTGCATTTCATAATGATTTCTTCATCTCTTTCATTAATCATGTAAAGCAATAATGAGGCTGAACTATCAGATGTGTAGAATACTTTCATAAAAAATTCTTCTTTCGTTTTTTTATTTATAGCTGAAGCAATAATTTGATAGCTTTTGATATCGGATTGTAAATCGGGTGGTATATGTAGTTCATGTTCGTACGGGATTGGACCGGAACGCAGAAAAACTTCAATTTGATCTTGTGCACTAAACAAGATCTTTTGCCCTACAATTATCTTAATAATTTCCTGTCGTAATCCTTCGTCAAGTATATTAAAGATCAACTCAATTCTATCATAACTTATCACCACCCATTTTTTGTAATCCTTCAATGAATTCTTCCATCTATTAAAGTCGTTTTCATATTCATGCTTGTTGCCTCCAAGAATCGATTCCGTTTTCCAAAAATAATTTTTATTACTGTGATTGAAAACCTCACCAGATATTCTCTGTTTTGAATGTGTAAAATTTAATGACTCATCAACTTTGATTCTGAGTATTTTCCCCCCTATTTTTGCTTTAAGAATTATGTACTCCCCATACATTTCTGTAATTCTTTTAAGCTCTAAAAAAGCGTCTTCATGTTTCAGGGCTTCCATCACTGCATTTTTGAACTCGTTTGTTGGTAATACCACACGTTTTTCGGTGACTTCTACCATTAATTTTACCGACATGTTAATGTCGTAAGTAGTGGATGAATCCGTATGGCTTGATGCAGGAAGACTTAATGAAAGAGGTGACCACGGCAAAACTGTACTAATATTCTCGTCCGCAATTGAATTTCTTACACACAAGTTGTCATAAGAATTTTTGCAGACTTTAGTGTGTTTCTGGTCATATTGATCTTCCTCAATATTAATTGATCCAGTAAACATAATCGCCTTCATTTTTGAACGAACTAAAATATTATTAGACATCTTTACGCCATATTCCAAGTTATAAATTTCAACTATCGCCTTTTCATCTAGGTGCATACGACTCTTTTCGATTATAAGGGTCTTCATATCTATTAAAACTTCTTTTAATGTTATAGTGGATTCTCTCGAACGTTCGATCATTAATCCATTAGGGCTAATAAATGACATGCTATCATCAATATATACTTCATCCTCACAGTTAGAGAATTGCATTCTAATACATTCAAGTGTCAGTGTGGCAGTAAGTTCGCGAACAATGAGATATTTGCGATTGATCATTATACATATTGTAAGAATTTCATCGGAGGTCGTATTTGACTGATAATTTCGTATAATGTCTAAAATCATTTTGAAAACTGTCTTAGCCGAGTGCCTTGATTTTTTCTATACATTAATTTGCTGATCTTTCTAAAATTTATTGTATTTATTGTGACCCTAATTTAGTGTTACACGACCTTGTACTTGTGATACGTTATAGTATTTCATACAGGTTAATTTACAGTGAAACTAATTTTCGTGTCACAATTGCTATAATTACGAATATTGCTCTCCATAATTAACCACAGTGCGGTACAGTACTATAATTAATCAAGTAATAAAAATAGCGTAACTATAGTAATTGTGACACGAAAATCCATTATACTAAAATTTCAATTATCGAGGGTTGACCGTTATACACATGTCGAAACAACTATACTGTATTTCTTATGGATAATTTAGAAAACTATTTAAATTTGAATTGTGGACTTCGTTATGAAGATAAAAATTTTCAACCAATTATTTATGAAGGAAAAATTATGAAAATAGAAAGATGTATTAACCAAATAATAATATATGAACCTGATAAAGATAATATGAAAAATTCCGCCTGGGACTTGTTTGAAACCAAATTTTCAATTAAGCCTCAACTTGAAAAAAATAATGACAAGTTAAAAATAACTGATATCAAAATTCTTATTCCGAATTTCAAAGTTACATATACTGGAAACCCAGATACCAATGCCCATTGTGAAAAATATCATCAATTATTCATTGCCGAGGAAGTATTGATCGGAGAATTTTGGACCATTAAGAACGTTTCAAAGTACTCATTTTTAGAACTCGATCAGTTTAAGGCGAGTGTGGCATGGGCTATTATTGAAGCTTGTATGGGTGATAAAGCTCTTACAGGAATCGATAAACTATTTGTACATTCAGGGCTAAGTGGCATTGACATCGAAGATTCAAATGGGCATATTATCAAAAATACTAAAATTTTGGTATGTCGATTGTCAAATAAAATTTAAAATTTGTTATCTATCTTAAATAATATTAAATAATGCAATAATCTTTTAGGAATTTATTTCTCAACTACACAAAAGTTCCGAAATTAGAAACATCATTGCTTACGAAAAGGTTGCCCCCACATTCTCAGATGAACGATTTCATATTCGTCTAGTTCCAGGAATCACATTTCATAAAGAAATTACTATGACAGATTTGTTTAAAAATAATATACATATGAAGTTGCCATCCTGGATAGAAAGATATCGTTTGAATTATGGGATTGTAATAACGAGCAATGGACTTGTATCCGGAAAAAAGGCCGCCTTGGATTTTGTTTCTTTGCCGTTAATTAAGTTTGAAAAAAAAACGAAATTAAAATTTTCACTATCCACTTTACCAGAAGGGCTGCTGGGCTCCAAATATTACATTGACTATAGTTACGAAATTCCGATGGATAAAATTCCATTTTTAGAATTTCCTTCCAGTCCAAAATTAATCAATATTTCTCAATGTAACATCTTTCATGAAGAAGTCATAATTTATATCTTTGGTAAAATTCAACAAAGACTAGTAAGTCAACCGTCAAAACAGTTGGAAGAAGATATAAATGGTGCCATAAATGATATAAATCCATGCGAGTCATTAACTAGAGTTTTTTCTGAATATGGCCACATTATTTGTACTGAAGTTACTATGGGAGAGAGACTATACGTCCCGCAGGATCTGTCCTCGATCTCGGAATCATGTGGAGTCGGTTGCTTGGGATTTAATTTACCGAGAAATCCAATCATCCTACCAGAAAACTGGAAGAGTATAATGAATGAATATAATATAAGTATTCCAGAATACTTTATTGCACATGACTCTTCCCCCATAAATTTAAATGATATCGACGATTGGTTAAATGGACTTTCAGAGAAACCAAATGATTGGTCTTTAGCAAATCAACCACGATTAGTTCCGCTATATAAAATCCTTAATGAAATGACCCAAAATAAAATCAGAGATTTATTTAAAAATGACCTGAAGATTTTAATGACAGGGATAACAAGAATTAAAGATAAAACACGCCACTGCAGAGTATTTTTTGAAAAACCTCTAAAAAGTGACGATTACAGAATTATAGGGTCTGCCATTTACAATAATGAAAAATTAAATTCAAGTGTAAAGTTTAAAAATTTGAGTACGAGAGGATTCTTAATAATTTTAGATGAAAGTATTTATCAAAAACACAAAAGGTAAGAAAATTTTAAACATTAAGGTATATTACTGAAAATAAAAGAATATCCGATTCGAATTTTGTATGATTTTCATTTTTAGGAATTTAGAAGTCTTCTGGCAACTGATCGGAAAGCCAAAGTCTGTTGGTTACTTTAGCAATTTTACCAGAGATATAAAAACGTTATTTAGCAAAGAATCGATCAGTATTTCAGAAAAAAATACTTCACATTCAATGTTCGTTGAGGAGAAATTAATTTCGGGTTTTATTATTGCGACATATGTTCAGTACCCACGTACAAACTATGAGATAATGATTCAAACAAACCTGAAATCTTGGTACAGTATGTTTTATTATCACATGTGTTGCATATAAATAATTAACAACGATCAAAAATAATAGGTCCGAAAAAAGAATAGACTTGGATTTTACCGTACATTTATTCGATATTGACTCACCACATGAATTCGAAATTAATTTATATGTAATAAACCCAATTCAAGAAGAACATGTTATTGCTGATATTATTTTAGAAGATGAAAATATTGTAGTCTCAAACGAAAGAAGAATTTATTGGAAGCTCATCGGGCATGAACTCATTGACAGGGACTTTATTGCTCAAGAAAATGAATGCCACACAATAAATAAAAACAGCAGGGTAACAGGAGAAATCAGTGAGTTCGATGAAGTAAAAACCATTGAAACAAAGTACGAAATAATTAATAGTATAGCACGTTCACAAACAAAGATCAATAATTCGCATGGTGAAACAGATCCGTTTGTAGACAGCCTTGTAAAAAAATATGAATATTTTTCTTTTAAGATCTTAAATGATATTACAAAGGACGAATCATGTATTACCAAACTTGCATGCCTAACGGAATTAGATAAAAATATTGTTCTCAAATATATAAAATACATAGACAGATACAAAAACAAGGACGATTATTACAAGGATTTTAAAAGAGAGGTATAAACTTTAATTATAAATCGCTGCTATTTAAATTAAAATACTTTCAAAGTATCTAATAAATATAATTTCAAAATTAATAGATACAGAATATGAATGAGGTTTACCCCAATAAAAATGTAATAAAATTTAGGGGAATTTGCAAAGGTATGCTTTTTTTATATATAACAAAGTAATAAAAAAATTTTAAGTAATGGATTCTATTTCATGATTTTAATGATAGTAAATTTTTTATTGCTATTTACGCTCCCTATTAACAGATCCATTCTTAAATGTTTATGCTATGGTACTTAAATATAACCGTAATGAAAATCTCAGAGCATACTTACAAAAAATAAATCACTTACAAAAAATAGATCAAAAATATTGGCTCAAAATAATAGAAATGGCCAAAGATATTTCAAGCGGATTGAGTTACATTCACAATGCAAATATAGTACTTGGAAATTTGGTGAGTCAACATTTTTTATTTGATATAATAATGCTATGCTAACAATTAAATATATTTTTATTTAATAGCATCCTATAAATATAATGGTCCGCAATGATTTATTGGTTATTACAAACTTTGGATCATCCTTCAAAAATTTAGTTAAACCGATTATTAAAGCCTCTAATCTTGACCATGACACAATTGCTTACACGGATCCTCAATATCTGGAAGATCGTTCTTATGAAATACAAAAATATTCCGACATTTTCAATCTGGGAGTAATACTATGGGAAATATCAAGTGGTAAAATTCCATACGAAAATGATAGAGCCAAATCTATTTTGACTTTAAAAAGTGAAATTATTGATGGATACAGAGAAAGTCCTGTTGATGGAACTCCATTAGACTACAAGGACATTTATTGTAAAGCATGGGGAAAAGTTCCAGAACAACGACCATCAATCAAAGAGATCAATGAGAATCTTAGAAATATCGAATTGGAACCCATCTTCCAAAATTCAGACTATATTCCAAAGATTTGTCTCGGAAAAAATCCGATAGAATCCCCGAAAAAAGAAGAAGCATGTCTAAAAGTTATTCGAGGCCATTCGGAAAATCGACACATTTTTCTTGTTCATGATGAAACACTAATAGGGAGAGATTCTAACAATAATATTATTATAAAAGGTCAAGAAATCTCAAAAAGCCATGCGAAAATTACAAAAGATAATGGTAGAGTCTTAATCAAAGCTTTAAACTCTACATTCTCGACACTTATTGATAAAAATAAGGCTCTGCCTAATGAGGAATACGCTTTAGAAAAAGAAAACCTTATTAAAATGGGAAACTGTGTTTTGCAATACCTTCCCGCGGGAGAATTCAAAAATCAATTTGATGATCTTACTAAAATATACAATAGAAAATATTTTGAGAAATTCTTAGATTGTGAATTTATTAAATATAGAGAAAATAATGCAAAATTATGCATATTGTTTTTTGATATAGACCACTTTGGGTGGATTAATAATGAAAACAGCTACAAAGCAGGAGATTATGCTTTAGAAAAGCTATCTATGCTTATTGAAAAAGAGTTTATTAATCCCGAAGATATGTTTGCTCGATATGGAGGTGATGAATTCATTATTTTTAAGAAAGACACATGCATTGAATTGGCTTTTGAATTCGCGAAAAACATTCAAGATTCTATAAAAGAACATAAATTTATATATGAGGGGAAAAAATTGCCAATTACAATCAGCATTGGAATTGCAGAAGCAAATCCTTATGTAAAATCAGCCAATAATTTACTCGAAAATGCAAGTGAGGCAGCGAAGAAAGCTAAGAAAAATGGTCGAAATCAAGTATCGATATGGAAAAATGAATCTAAGATGCAAGAAAAAAATGCTAATTTGCTTATCTTATTTATTATTTTTGTAATTTTATTTGTTACAGTAATTGTATTAATTTTTTCTTTTATACTAACTAAATAAATAAAATAACCATAATAAAAAAAATAAATCAAATTTGATAAAGATTCTGTATATATTACTTATTTACTTTAATGTTATTGATAACTATAAATTTAATCTTAATATATATAAATAAATACAGTAGCCGTCATAAAAAATGCACCACTTGTATTTTTAACTTAAAATAATTATATATTAATAAAAAAAGGCAATTATGTTTTATATAATTTTATATTTAAATAGTTAATAAATTACTTAATTTAAATATATAAGTTGTT